AAATGTGGTACACAGAAGGTACTAACCGTCATGTTTCTGCACCATGGCTCTTGTTGGTGCACATCCATTTTCCCTGGCCACCTGAAGAGAGGAGGTGGTCCAGTGGGCATGTGAACTACCAGCAGTCTTCAGCTGCTGAAACATCTTTGCCCTCCCAAGTTCTCCCATCAGTGTTAACTCAATCTGCAGATGTTCAGATGATTAGCACTCATGTCCCATCATCACTGCATCTCTGAAGGGATGCAGTTGTCCCAGACAAAGTGGAAAAGCTTGTCTTGATGGACGCTTTTGTTCTGGGAGCCAGTGACACCTATTCTGCTGGCTTCAGCCACCTTAGGTTTGTAATCTTAACAGAAGCAGAGGAGATCTACACTCACAGCTTTCACAAAAATTAGGTGTATTTAAAATGCAGCTTTTCTTCCTGGCTTTGTAGCTGTCCTAGAAAGTCATTACACATGGATTTATTTTTCCTTATCTCTTGGATTATCATCGGCTTCCTTCCTTCCTGAATGAATTTATTCAGTGTTCTGATTACAGCTTAATTTTTTGATCACCTCCTGTCTGAGGGGCTTAAGATTTTGTATGTTTAACATAATTGAACCGAATATTTTGCAGCAATAGACAGTGAAGTTAATTTTCTACCGATTGATGGGCTGGTTACGGTGAATCTTTTTGCAGTCTACTCACTTTGACAGTTTGCTGCTCTGATTACAGACCTCCTTTATTTTATTTGTCCTTCTGTTTTACTTTATTTCTTGCCATTAAGCCATGTATTAATCTGACTTTGGAGAGGGAAAATGTGGGTTTCAAGAAACTACCAAAGAGATTCAGACAGCTGGTCAAAGATAAATCCAGTATGCAGACAGGGTCATGAATATCTCAGAAAACATCTGTTTAAAAGACCAAGGCATCAAATATCTCCTTAGTCTCTGTCTTTAAACTGAGCTTTGAATTTGATTGTTGGGTATTGGTTATTTCTGGGCTCGTGTAACAATTACGCAGGGAACAAGGAGGAAACAACAAATATTTAGGTAGATGTTTAAGGGGAAGTGATATTCCATGATTTTAAAACAAAAAAAGTCCTTAAGTTGCATGAGGCTGTGACTGGCAGTGTCCTACGGGAGCTGATGGTCATTAGAACTGGGAGGTCATTATCTTCCCAGAGCTGAACAGCTTTCTTCTGCATGCATGGGGGTTTGGGGAGAGGGGTGTGTTTGTCATAATTCATATGTGGTAGCTAAACTAGGAGGAGTTTTTTAAGGCTTACTATTCTGAGTCTACGATTCTGTGAACTAGGAGAAATGAACATTTTTACTGAAACATCTTTCATTTTGCTATTAAGGGCAGTTCCATGTGTTAACTGGCTGACATTTACTCTGCACAAGTTTTAAAGCATTTTATATTGAAAATGTATCTGCCTACAGACTTATCCCAAAGCCTGAATCCTGTGTGATTCACATAATGCTATTTTGTTTTGGTCTGCATATACTCTTCCTTAATAATTGAAGGATTTTCCCCTAATTATTATTGAAATAGGACATTTTTAATTATAAAGTATCAACACAGCTTTATGTAAGAATGATGGTAGTGTGTGATATAAACCACTTTATTTCAGTGCAGGTGTCTACATACACCAGCTGCTGGAGCACATTAATCAATAACGCTTTTAGAAGCTGTATAGACAATCCCTGACTGCTTGCCTGAGGAAAGATGATAAATTAATCTGAATATTAAACACCAGTTGAGGCAATTAATTTTAAATGAAGACAATGGGAAACTGGTTTTGCTTGTATTCTCTGGTACATGCTTTCAAAAGCCTTGCTTTTCCAGAATTGTGTTTTTCCTGTGTGTGTGGCACAGGATGTGACTTGGTTCGCAGCAGGTAGGTTCATTAGCCAGCATTTCTGGTGTAATATCCAGCTGTGGAAAGCTTATAAAGTATTGGTATTTAGGTCATCTTAATTAGGCCTCAAAATAAAGATTGAAGATAAAGTGGAATAATTGCACATAATTCATTGTGGCTGAGCTTCTTCAGTGAAAAGAGGGTACAGGAAGTATGAACTGATTTCAGCAGAGTTGCTGCAGATCTGCCTCACTGGTGCTCCAGTGATTGTGCAGGGAGCTGAACCTGTTTAACTAACGATTTTGAGAAGAGGTGAAAGATGCGGCAGTTTTCAGGTGGGTTGGATGCTGAACTGGATATCTTCCCCCCCCACGATGCCAGCACAGGGAGGGGATTGGGCTGAGCCAGCCCCTGTTTATATCACTGCACTCTTCTGTGTGACCCATGCTTCTTCATTACTGGTGATTTTGGTGGCAGAGGGGAGCTCATCTGCTTTCTTCCTTCCAGGATGAATTTATCCAGAGTTGTACATATGTTCACACCAGTTGGAAGGAAACTGAGGTATCAGTGTGCCTTTCACAAGCTTGTGTGAGCAAAGAGCTTCTCCCCTTCTCTGTGAAGACTCACTTGCCATGTTAGCAGCCAGAATACTGCAAAATCATTACTGATGAAAATCATTGTGAGCTTCAGTGCCAACAGGGGTGGCAGCAATTATTACACAGCCTGTGTTGCATTCAGTGTTAGCAAGCAAAAGCCAGGAGTCAGGATCCCTCATTCTGGGTTTAAGAAGTTGAGACCAGTGAGGAAAGCCAGAGGAATCTGAACAGTCACCAGGCAACTGAATGACCAGCTGATTAAATGCAGTTGTGTGTTTTTCAGCCAACCAATGCATCTGCCTTAGTAACAGATGCAAATGTGAGCTCTTCAAACCCACCTCTGCCAAGCTATTGGCAATGAAATTGAGGATGATGCATAACTTTAGGTGAGGAGAGACTTGGAGGAGGGTTGCAGTGGTGGCCGGAATATGCATCTGGTGGTGTACAAGCACCTGTGACATCTAACAGGCATCTACAAGCAATACTTTGTGACTAATCTGATAAATTTAGTACAAAGAAGGTGGCACAGTTGTACTGTTGTTTATATCCCTTAGACTAACAACATGCCAAGTATGCTTTTGGTGGTGTAATACCACAAGATGGGAGGGTATTATCATTTAAGCATGTTATTAAACTAATGACATATAAAGAGGTACTAAAAAGCAACAGTGATCATCTGCTACATCAGTGGGGCTGGTAGTTGACCCTTCCAACTTTGTTTATAGGCCAGTGTAACTGAAAATGGAGGGGGAGCTCCTCCTGATCTGAGTTTTTCCCTGTAAGAGCATCTCTGTGTCTTCTGATAATGGAGCTGAAGGAGCACCCATGGGTACAGGAGACAGATACTTGGTCTCTTCTTCCTTGTCCATCCCAGCAAATTCAGCACACCCTGAAATGCAGAGTTTATTTTCTCTTAGCATTTTGAAGGCGTATCCTGTCTTGCACCATATCTATAATTCTAGTTTAGACAAAGCCTGAAGGGATTTAGGTTTGCATATTTTTCCTAAGAGGATTATGTTTCACACTTAGTTGCTCTATGAATTGAGGGGGGGTTTCATGATTTTCTAAGTATGTGAAACACTGCATACATATTCAAACTGTCCTGAAATGTGTTGTCTGGGGGTTAGTAATGGAAATGTGGTGTTTGAACTAGTAGTAAACTGAAGTACTGAGCCTCAGGGTTACTTTGAACTGAAAAACATTTTGGTAATCAGATTTGCATCACGGCTGCAGGAACAGTAGTAGCAGCACAACTGGAGTGGCTAGCAAATTGCAAGAGGGATTAGAAACTGCTTATACTGGCATCAGAGAAAACAATTTAATGGGAAACTACAGCCTAGGAATAAATCAATGAGCACCCTTGAAAGCATAGAGGTGCTCATAACAGTGAGATTCTGGAAACTCTGCTTGCAGATCAAGGCAGTAAGGCAGCTTGGTGGGAAAGATAAATGAGTAATAATTATTAAAATAATGGATATATTATATGCATATAAATAATATATTATTAATAGGTAAATGGGGAAAAATAGTGGTAGTCTGTGGAGGCTTATTTAAGTTCATACTCATAAAATCACTGGTCAGGTATGTACACCTCAGCAGTGGCACCTAGGAGTGATGGGTTCTGACAGTCCTTGTGCTAGGTGGGTGCTGTGGCATGGTCCCTTCACTCTGCTGGCTCTCCCATCTGCCGGTAGGGTCATTTTGATGATTGCTGGCTTAATTTTTTATTATGTAGGCTGTATCTCACACATTTGGTTTCTGTATTTACAGTGGCTTTTGTGGGGGCTGGGTGCAGCTCCTCATTTTGTGCTGCCTTTGGGTTGTTTGGAGGATGTGCAGCAGCAATTCCTGCTAAACACAAGCCTGTTTCAGGGCTTCTTCCCTGCCCTTTTTCTGAACAGTCAAAAAACTTGAAATACTAAGAATTTTTTACCTCATTTCACTGAATTGGAGGAGGGATCTGTCTCAGCCATAGAAAACTGATTAAAACAGGACTAAATTCATCTGTGCTACTCAGCTTCCTTTGAAACTGCTGGTTTGTGCCCAGTGCTGCCGGCTCTGTCATCTTTCATCTCTCTTCAGTCGTTCCTCACTGGAGTGATGAGATGGATATCACTGAGAAACAAGTGGCATTTTTTTCGTAAAAAGGGCAAGGGGGAAAGAGAATTGTCCCATGTGGCTGTGCAAATGACAGGCAGTCTCTGTAGCTCTATGTCTTCATTATTTTATCAAAGAACTGTACTCATAGCATTGCAAACTATACCACAGCAAATGTGGGACTGGTGGTAGGCTGGTGTTAAACCCTTGAAGGAAGGAAAATCTGAAAACACAAACTGAGGAGGAGCTGCTGGAAAGTGTCAACCTTTGTTTTGCTGTAGAAGCTTGTATGGAGTAAGTTTGGTTTGGCACCAGATAGATTCAGTGAGATAAGCAGAATGGGTCAAAATTTATTAATATCCAAAGGTGTGGGTTGGCTAGTGAGTGGTGGTTTGTGAGCTTTATGAGGACTTCATCGTGCCCTCTAACCAGTGGTGATGTTTTGTGTTCTGTTTTCTCTGCAGACGTCGGCTGATCTCCCAGCGATCTTCTCTGGAGACTCTGGAGGACATCGAGGAAAATGCCCCACTGCGGAGGTCTTTTTATTCACTTTCTCTCTGGTTACTTTGTCTGTAAGGCACATGCATGGACAGACCTGCTGTCCGTTCCCATGTTGAAAAGCAGCTGGGTGTTTGCGTTAAGATGTTCTTAGTGGGTAAAGGTATTGAAACTTCACGCAACCTGCAAGGTGGTAGGTGACATAAATTACACATTCCCTGGCTTTAGGCTATTAAATAAGAAGTCAGTATTTAAATAGAATGTCAGGAAATTAAAAGTCAGATTCAAGTAATAAAAAAGTTAGTTGTCACTAACGTAACTGACCCGTAATGTAAGTAATACCTTTAATGAGCGAGTACAGCTGGTTTGATAAAGCAAGCTTCTGAAGGCCAGTATTTTTAGTATTCTCATTTTTTAATGAATTTTTATGATTTGTCCTCTCAGCACATGCAGTCTTGGTTCGGTAGCCAGCATTACTGTCTTTGCATGTTGGCAGGTATGTTTGTGACTGCCACCTCACTTACAAAACTGCCCCTATCCTTGTTATATCAGCAGCTTCAATGTGGTTTTATTTCTGCATCCAGGAGACCACAGCTTCTATGGGGACTGCAGTAATTAGTCTAGGGAATGCTCTGGGGTGATGGGAAATGAAAATACTGTTCAACAGTTCAGAAGCAGGCTGATCAGTAATCTGACCAGTGCGTGGTATGCTCCCAGGTCAGCTGTTCGGCAAGGGGGCAGCTGGATTTTCAATGTCTCTTTATCTTGGGACCTGTAATTCAGCTGGTTTATGTAAGTGCTTAGCCTATGACATTGTTTATCCACATGCAGATCGGCTGTCTCTTCCACACCTCAAAGCAAAGACTTAATAGCAGAGGCTGTACCAACTGGCCTATTACCAAGGCTTGATTATTTTTACAAAGCTTACCATTGAATGCTTACCAGCATGTTATGAAGCATTCTCATAAATTATTCAAACACGTATAATTGGCAAAAGATACAAACAAAGTGTGGTTTGCAAGGCAGTATTTTTACTTGCTAATTTGCAGAATTGGTGGTGGATCCTCTCTCTTGACAGTATTTTCCCCTGAAGAAGCTAACAAGGCTGATTAATTACAAACAGAGGGTAAGGGAATCTCAAGGATTTTACTAGCAGGAGGAAGGCAGAAATGGCCAAGTGATGTGTACCTGTGCACAGTGATGGCATTTGGTACAACAGGAACTGACAGTCCCTGGTGGCTTGAGACCAGTGGTCTCTTTGTTTCAGTCAAACAAAGGGACCTCTTGGGCTTGGGAAGCTGATGAACACTTCCAGTGCATAGGAGAGGATGGGAAAAGTAGGTTAGGGAGGCTTAATACAGAAGTACTGTGCTGGTCCCATATGCTGGTAGTGCATTTGATACATGCTTTTTTGAGGATTGCTTGTACTTAGTAAAGAAAGAAGAAATTCTTCACTATGAGGGTGGTGAGGCACTGGCACAGGTTGCCCAGAGAAGCCGTGGCTGCCCCATCCCTGGCAGTGTTCAAGGCTGGGTTGGATGGGGCTTTGAGTAACCTGGTCCAGTGGAAGGTGTCCCTGCCCATGGCAGGGAGGTTGGATCTGGATGACCTTTAAGGTCCCTTCAAACCCAAACCATCCTATAGTTCTGTGCCTGTCCCTTAGCTCCCATGGAGGATGCAGCAGCCCTGGCCAGGCAGTGCGCAGTTATCTCCAGTGTCTGTGCACCGTGCCGTGCCTTGTAACAAAACAGCATGGAGATGAAACAGAGAAAGCTTTCACATGTGCTGTGGTTTTAGCTGATTAAAAAGAGCAAGGCTGGAAGGGGGTGGGGAATATTGCTGTTTGTCTCATCTCTTCTCCCTCCGGCTATTTCTTTCTGTAACTGTGATTTAAAAAGTATGTTCAGATGTAAAATAGATTTAAGGATTAATGTTAAGAAGAATGGTATTTTTTTCCTGAGGTAATTTTTCATATTCTGTTGGTTTGTATGCTGTCAGGAACGTGAAAATTAATATTTAGAGTTCAAAGCAAATAGGAATTATCCTTTCAAATTAGAGATTTTAAATCTTTCTAAAATTAAAAGAAGAAAGAACTTTCCTCAGTAGCTCCTTTACCAATAACTGAGGAGGATAGGACACAAAAGTTTGAGGGTTGGTGTGAGTGGGAAAATCACATATTTACCAGATTTTGGCTTCATTTGTTTTTTCCTCTGAAAGCGTTGGCTGAGCTGTCACGGCAGATTACAGGAAGTTTTATTTTGCTCAGATTTTTTTATGATGTGTTTTTTGCGTGAAGGGGGGTGGGAGGGTGTTGCCTTTTCTTATTATTATTTCAAATATCTTTTTTTTAATTTGAGCTGTCACATTTCCAGACTTATTGTCTTTATTGTTCTTGCCCATTCCTAACACGGGGTGACTTGAATCATTTGTCTCGTCTTTCCTTCCTGCCTTTGTGTAGACTTCTTGGCCATACAGCAGGGAACTGAGCACTTCTTCTTCCTCCCTCCCCTCTCCCTCCAACTGATTTATTTTTCAGATGTCGGACACTCTCAGGATCACCCAGACCAAAGAACTTTAAGAAGGTTCATTTTATCAAGAACATGCGGCAGCACGATACCAGAAACGGCAGGTACTGTGCATGCATAGCCTGCTTCTGCAAAGGCGATCCATGGGGCGTGAAGGGAAGGGAGGGTCAGCATCCCCATGCAAGAGCACAGTGTGCCAATGCCACTTACCCCATACATAGTAATGGCCTTTAAAATAGCCTGCGAAGGTGCAGGCTGCAGTGCATGCTTCCTTGAGTGAAGCACGAGTCAGTGGAAGTGCTAGCCCGTGCATTTTTGAGACCTGTGTTTCCTTAGTACAAACAACCTGTATAAAAGGAAAATCTGTGTTGCTGTTTGAGTAAACTAGGCATAATCTTGTTGCACTTCTTCAAGGGTAGTGCGAAGTGTGAGAGGCACACATGGCCAAACCTGGTGGGTCAAGTTTAGCAATGGCTGAATGGTATTTCAACATCTATCAGTTGGATACAAAGTGCTGGCTGGTAAGCACGCAGCTGGGGATGGTTGTGGCAAGGTGAGGAGTGGGATCCATGTCTTCAAGGCAGGCAGAGGGGCTCCCATTGGATGTGTGAGGGGTGCAGCCTGAGCTGGGATGTGCACTGCCCAGACTGCTGCCATGGGCACCGTCTGACCTGACAGTTAGACCTGACGTCTATGGTCAGACAGAACTTCCCTTACAGCAGAGGCATGGCGCTTGTTGTGATGTTCCCATCAGCAAAGTAGGTTCTTTATTGCTGTATCATCCACCTCAGAAGTGAAACTAGCTCCTCCCTGCTTATAAAGAAGACAGCTGCCCTCTCTGGTGTTTTTCCCTGTGTGCCTCATGGTTTTATTCTTGCCCTTCCAAACATGAAAGGTTTGAAATAGGCTATCTGAAGAGGTTGCTTAGAGACCACATGTAGTCCCACTGAGAGTTGACCCTTGCATATGCCTGTTCTTACAAAACTGCAGTGGGTGAGAACAGCGTACATTCCTGTGGACTGATTTGTGCCTATGGTTTCCATTAAATGTGGAACCAGGTCAGTAGAAATTCTGACATCACATTGAACCACAGGTTTTATGAGTTGAATTCTGGTAGGTGTTACTTGGCTCAAGCAAAATTTTCCTCATGTTTATTCTCATGCAGACAATTAAATGCAGTGAAAGGTAGTAATCAACAGAAATACTGTGGCTTCAAGGGATGGCAGCTTTTTAGAAACAGCTTTTGTAGCAAACAAACACATGAAGAACTGTTGACTTGACTACTGTCTAGCTGGCAGCTGATCATTGTCTTTACAATAAATACATGTGGAATCAAACACTGAAAAGCAGACCTCTAATTTTAGTCTGGTTTGTGCATAATAGATGTGTGCTCTGGGAATTTCTTATGGCAAAAAATACTTATTCATAAGGTATTATGCAAATTCAACAGATAACGAGTGCTTTCTGAGATGGGTAGATAAAATACATGCATACATTTTATAGGAATATTACCTGTGAAAAAAATGAATAAATGCGTGATTTGTAAACTGTTTTCTCCACATTTTGAAAAAAATATTTGTAGGATATTTGCAGCATTTTATCTTAATTCATAGATTGTTTGCTAAGAAAACAGTGAGTAAGCTTCTGTTATTCTGCTGGCTTATCGTCATCAGCACAGTTTTGCAGAACATTTCCATAATCATAGTAAAGATCTCTTTATTTGGACCACAGACACAGTAAGAATAAGCTAGACAGTTTTGAAAATGCTTTTTGTCCTACGGATACACAGTGATACTAGCTAAAAATAAAATGCAAAGTCAACACTTTGTGTTGCTTCTGTGGCCAGCTCAGTCTAGCAGTAAGTAACCTGAGCTCATACCCGGTGTTTCTGAGGGGTCTGGGTTCTGTTGCAGTCACTCAAGTTAGTGGGAAAATAATAGGCATTGGATCGACTTCATGTGTTCATTGTAAAATCAACAGGTTCTGAGTACGTTAAGACCTTTAAAGTTGGTGTCCTCCCCAGTTCCCTGTGACAAAGAGGAACATAGTTATTGCAATGGATAGAAAACCCTCCTGGGGCTCCTTCCCATGCCCAGGACTTCATCCCATGTGGCTCATGCAGGGTCACGCAGGATGCGACTGCTGAAACAGGCTGGAGTTGGGTTCTCTGTGAAACCTCTGACCCTTCTGTCACAGCATATTAGACTTTCACTTAACTTGAGGAACCAGCTTTGAAACCATCTATACAGAACATATTTGAGAGTGGTGAATTTGATAGCTGGGCATTAAAATGGCCAGTGCATTCAGTAACTGTTTCATTGGCTTGTGACTATGAGTGACAGCAAACTGCAGTGTGGTAGGTAGCTCAGGGCTCCCTTCTCTGCTGACTGCCCTTATCTGTGGCTCTCAGCTTGCAAAGTGACATGTCCTTGTCCTGTGACACTGAATGCTTTTCCTCTCTCAACCCTGGGAGTGATACATGGTCAGCAGTGATGCTCTGGGTCCAGCCTTTGGTGTTCCAGTGGCAGGGTCAGACTGGCTGTGGTTAAAATAGCAGCCTTCCAGTATCTGAAGGGGGGCTATAGGAATGCTGGGGAGGGACTCTTCATTAGGGACTGTAGTGACAGGATAAGGGGTAACGGGTTCAAACTTAAACAGGAGAAGTTTAGGTTGGATGTAAGGAAGAAATTCTTTCCTGTTAGAGTGGTGAAGCACTGGAATGAGTTGCCCAGAGAGGTTGTGAATGCTCCATCCCTGGCGGTGTTCAAGGCCAGGTTGGACAAAGCCTTGGGTGACATGGTTTAGTGTGAGGTGTCCCTGCCCATGGCAGGGGGATTGGAACTAGATGATCTTAAGTTCCTTTCCAGCCCTAACTATTCTATGATTCTATGATTCTAAAATAAGAATTCAGCTATTTAGCACAGAGAAAAAGCACTTAATACGCAGACCGCATCTTATCAGTTAGTCCTTGTAAAGCTTCCTGTTGACTGTTCTGTGCACTGGTTAAACCGGTTTCTTCGGATTTGTAGGATGTGGCTAAGTAAAGGAGCTGGAAAATTCTGTTTCCCAGACTGTGTTATCAAAAAGCAGTCTTGTCAAATAGCACAGAATAAATTTTCACATTACAAGACAAAATAGTCAACCCTAACATACAAATTAGCACAGATACCAACCAGTGTGTCGTTTCACCCATATTACTCAGCTGGTTTGTTGGTGGCATCTTCTGTAAGCTGTGAAGCAGATTTCCTGTCCAGAAACAGGCCACCAAAACAGCAACCTGAGCCAGCTGAACAAACAATACGTGGTGAGAACGAGATAAGATTTCTAGAGTCACCTTGTATAGCAGACAAAAAAGCAGTAAAACAGTGCCCTTCTCCCACCTCCATATTATTGCTTTCTCAATTTTTTTGTTAGTATACAGATCTAAGCCAAGGCCAAACAGCATCCATAAGCTATGAAAGGTCTCTTTTAATGCTCCTCAATTGTGGAAATGCATACATATGCACTCTAAGAAACTGACTATTTGCAGCATCCTCACAGTTCATAATTACTTTCAGACACCTTCCAATAGCGCCATCTTGAACCTGGGAGACTCCAAAATGATAGTTGCTACCAGACAGCATCCATGGTTTGTGTGTTCACCGTTGCATGCAGGGTAGCAAAGCCCTTGTAGTCAAACATCATCTATCCGGTATGAGAAAAGAGCCTATGGTATTTCACAGGTGAATGGTACATACTGTGTGTATCCCATTGCCTGATCTCAACCTTTTGGTGAAGCACAAACCTAGACAGATACTAAAGCAGACATTCTTCTTTATGTCCAGTGGATTACTGATTCTGTCAAGAGCCTTGTGCTCACTAAGGTTTTATAGTTTCATAGCGTACACCTCATTAAAGAAATTGGAAGATTAGCTTTTACAGTCTCAGAAGTTGGACATTGTCAGAGCTCTCTTGTAAACTAATGGTTGCTCTGAACCATAGTAATTAGTACAACTTCTTGGTGAAATGTGAGAATTAGGGGATAAAAACCTTTTCATGAAGTAATTTTAAACATGTCTGCGTGGCACAATGGCAGTCAGGGCACGTAAACCCTCTCTGGCTCAGGCTGCTTCTGATGTCTTATTCAGAGCTACGCAATACTGTAAATGCCCTTTGTTGAAGAGCTGAAATCCAGGAAAATGCTTTTCTCCCATGAAAAATGATTAGATTTTCCTGAACAGCAGTGGGATTCCACCACACCTTCCCAAAAGCAACTATTTGACAAGTTTCTGGACTTTCTGCCCCAGCAAACCATTGCAGGCCCTCAGGTTTTGTTTTCTGTGTATATCATCAGACCTCTAAATAAAATGTCATTTTATCCCTCAGTGATGAGCTTCTGACCACTGCCTTCCCTGCTTCTCCTCCGGTCCAGCTCCTAAGGCTGTTTTGCACCAGCCCCCTCCATCAGCCATGCAGGTGAAGTTTTGTGTCATCTTGGCAGTGGAGGCCATGGGCTTCTCTCCTGCTTTGCCTGGGAGATCTGTATGTAAAGAGAGTCCCAGTTTGTGGAAAGAAAGCGATACTTGGGTCCCAAGGGAAAGAAGTCTGAAAAAGAATAGAGGCTGGGCTGGTGCTTCTTATTTCCTTTCTGGTCTGATTTCTTCTGATACAGCAAGTCTTCTATGGTTACTTCCCGCTGTTGTGTCTGCTTCTCGACATGGAAGCAGAGTATTCTCTTTAAGAGTTGGGTGTTTTTTAGGTAGTTGTAGGGCATTGGCGGAAGAGCTGTATTTCCAGAAGGAGCCAGAGGGAGTGGGGGAAATGCTCTTAGTGGGTACCGTGGTTTTCCAAATTCAAAGATACTTTCTGATGTCAGCCTCGAAGTCTGTGCCAAGTTTCATACATCAGCAAACAAGGCTTCCAGGGAACAAGCAAGCTGTTGTGAGTAGCTAGCCATTCAGCAATAAACAGTGGCAAGCACGAAATTAATCACATGCCAGGTTTTTTTGCTTGTGGATTGCCTTTCTCAAATGTTAGAAATTTTTTCCCCCCTCCACTCTGTAGCTTACTGCTGCACCAGGAGACAGTCTTACAGGATATGAGATATTTACCATAGGTAAGGAGTGTTACAGCATTCAGCCAAACAATGAGATCATACTTCTGCTGTGGCAGGAGAACTTCTTCTGATGCTGGTATGCATGTTTATTATTAGAAACCCTTCATTTATTAAAGGGTAAATACCCCTTTGCTTTCAAGGGAGAAAATAAGATTGCTGTAATGGAAGAAAATTGATCATTCTGCATTTTTCCAAGCATTACATGCAGCAGCTCTCTTGGGGTTCTAAATCTTTTCCAAGAACGATGACTAAGCTGGTCCCTTAAGGAAGCAGTGTTTTAATTACAGCATAACTGGTACAAGATTTATGGGTGCATATGGTGGTTTTCAGTCAGTAAAGAACAAAATAGCTTGCTAGGGTTTGTTGTCTGACTCTGACCATTGTAGGACAAAGGATGAAAAATTGAGCTGAAACCCTTACATACAGATCTGTGGCACCCGATGTCATGAAATCAATGCTGGAGAGCAGAGCACGGAGCCGCAATAGCCTGGACAACCAACCTAGGAGTATATTCTAGCATTTGGACCACAAGTGGAGATTTTTAGAAGCATAAAATATCAGTAAATTGTAACACCAGTCACATTAGAAGATGGCACAAATAGCCATCACTGTCTCTCAGAGGAATTTGAGGTGATGCAGCCTGTTGGCCAACTTTAGAAAGAAAAAGGGCTTTCTCAGTGTATGTTGTACAATTGTAGAGTTGTTGATGTCCTGAAGGTAATAAGGAAAGAGGCTGTATTTATAAACAATCAGTTATTTATTGGCATTCTTTATCTTGCATCTTAATCAAGCTGCTTTTAGCTTCTTGCCAATCTGCATCTCCCCAAAGTATAATATAGCTATTGGCAGTCCATTCAGTTTCGTGGAAGGTGGTTCTTGACTCAGGGTGGTTTTGATGTTGTTTAATGATACATCAGAGCTTGACAGCTAAAGGCAATGATATGGCTGTAAGACAGATAGGTTGCTCTAAGGTACTTGATTAAATACTATGACTTTGATGCAGAGATTTGGAGACTGATTAAAAATACACGGTGTTTGTTGGAACAGTGGCCAGTATTCTGAGATAATCTCTCTGCAGGCAGATAATGTATGATTTCCTGTAGCCACATCTTGAACTACTTGCCTATAAGGAATGAAGACATGCCATGCTTACAGGAGGAAGGATTCAGCACTTGCAGTTAGTGGCTGAGATAGGCGTGGCACTGGAGGAGAAGGGGCAAGGAACTGTTGAATCAGTCATGCCGCATCATAACCAAGAGGGCTAATGTGATTATTGAGCACAGGCACTTGTGGGTCATCAGGGCTAGACACTGATCTTAGGGTTAAGACTGAAAGGTACAATGTTCATATCTGCCATCTGTGCAACTGCTGAGGCTAGTGATGCTGCCTAGAGACCAAGAAGGGTGATGGGGAAAAGCTGGAGAAGATTCATGGAGGAGCCTAGAAAACAGTGAAAGGATCTGAAAGCTTATAATAATAGCAACCTTTGACTTCAGCCATGAATAAGGCTATTTCAGGAACAGGAAGCTGAAAATCAAGGGAGTCCTTCGGTTTAGCAGAGAAAGGTCACAACCAGCCTGTGGAAATTCTCTTCCAATAAAAGCAAACTCCAAGTCCACCACAGAGTGGTGGTGTGCATCACCTGAGTTGCTGTATTTGTCTGTTTAGTTTCAGCTATAGTGGTGAGTTGTGAGATTGACTCCTTGCTTCTCTGGGTGAGCTCTTGTTACTAGGTCTCCTTTCACTAGAAAAACATCTATCCTAGGTTCTAAGTAATGTATTCAAAATAGTCTTTCCAGAAAGCTTGTATAGGGGATGGAACTGCACTGCTCATTCACTGTGTAAGGTATGGCACAGGCTTCAGCACTTCTGTAAAGACTCGGTAGCATAATACCCTTGTGCTTGTAAGATAAAAAAGAGGGAGAAATTATCCGTCATGAAAGCTTTATGATTATGAATTCCTCAGCGATAACATCTATTGCTTTGCTTGTTGTGGTGGGATTTTTTTAATTTTAGTCTTTGATTTCTTTTATTTTCTTTTATATTTTAGAATAGTCCTTATCAGCAGCAGAAGATCCTTCTGTAGCATATTTTCAGTGCTGCCATATCGAGACTGTACCCAAGTCGGGTATGTATATTTATACATGTACTACATAGTCTTTCTGGGCCTGCATGTAGACCTGATAATGGACAACAGCATGATGAAGGGTATTGCTTTTATGTATCTGCTCTGAGTAGATAAATGCAGTTAGATATATTTGCCTTGTGGAACATGACCAGGTTAAAACTACAACTCTCAGTCCCCAGTTTATATATATGTGTTGTGGTGTCTTTGATTATGAAACTGGAAGAAACTACTCCCCTGAAATAAATGTTCTTGAAAAATGCACTGTTTTTATTGTGTCTTCTGACTTCACTCATCTTTGACAAAACAAGTACTCTAGACAGAACATTTTTTATAAGCAGTCTTAGATTTCTTATTCTCCTATGCAAATGTGGTGCTGTGGTATCTAGATTTCCAGAACTATAGAGAAATACTTGGATTTAAACATAATACCTTTTCATTGTACATTTGGCCATTGGTCAGATTGTTCAGTCATTGAAAACAGCTTGTTTTGGCCATAGTACCAGAAAGGTTCTTTTTCCATATTACCACACAGATTCTTAGCTGGTGTAAGCAGCACCCGTGGAGCTGCCTTGTAACCCTCAACTAGACCTCTGATAGAAACTGGATTTAGCTGGGAGACGTTGCCTGCCAGGCTCTGGGGCACAGCTTGTTGGATGCTTTCAGAGACACAGTGCAATGTTGGGAAGGGCAGTGCTTGTTTGTGGCAGCTCTGTGCCCCTGGGGCAGAGGAGTAAAGCTTGGCCACCAGAGCCACTCGGGACAGCTGAGAGTTACCTGTAGTTGGATTGGCTCAGCACTCGCGGGGCACAGAATTTGGGGGGAATACTCAGTTAATACACTGAGGTGGGTTTGAAAGACCTGTAAATCATCTAGATTCAAATTCGTCAAGTGCATAAAGGATGAATTTGGCTTCATGTTTATTAGCAGCTCTGCTTAATTCTGGAGGATTGTTTGCCACAAGCTGCTTGTGCATCACTAATTCAAAACAAAGGGAGATTATTTTTAATGCAGAACTGAAAGGAGGCACCTTTGTAGGAGAGTCGACTTGCTCTTCTGTCTCTTAAAGTAAATTTTTTCTCTTAATTTAACTGGGATGACTCATCAGGCAAATTCTTGACGGACTGGTGGGTTTGTTTGCTCTTTTGGGGTTTATTGTCATTCATTTATGGTCATTGCCCAGTGGAAATTGCCTCTATTGAAAAGTGAATATATTTTGAAATGCTGATGACTAGTTACACCTTCTGAATTACAGCAGTTACAAAGCCAGCTGCAAACCTAAACGTTATTTCAGCATGTAATTATCTTGTACCATGCTTGCTCAGCAAGAAACCATGGGCCGAGAAGGTACCAAGTGCCAGTACAAAACAATGCAGCCCTGTTCCCTTTGCTAAAAAAACCCCACAACATTAAAAAAATGCCCTCTGTCTTTCTTCCAGAGCATCAGAGGAAGAGAGAAACAACTCAGTGGCACCTCCTTCTAGGAACAGCTGGTGCAAAGAACAGATGAGGCAGTATAGCATAAACTGTAGGCACTCTGTTAAGGCTGCACAGTGCTTGCTCACTTCATTGCACATTTTGGATGTGTAGTAGGAATGGGGAGAGACACTGGTAATGCTTTTGAAGTTCTGTAGTGACAGCATCCTTTGGCCTTTGCTTTCTCTGAACCTCTGGATTGCTCATGTCTGTCCCTGGGCAAGATGTTGGAACTGATTTATGTTCTGCAAGCATTACTGAATGGTTTACAAACATAAATCGATGCAGGGAGCCATGGGCACATCTGCAGTGAGACTGGGATGAGCCCTGGCAGGAGCAGGAGAGCAGGGTGAATGTACATGCAGGGAGGACTGTTCCATGTGAGAGTAGCACATGGTGGAGCTGTCGCTGCTTCTCCACCTCTGCTCTGACTCATGGGCATTGAGGCCAGCAAGAAGATGTACAAGCACAGCTGTGTTTTGAGGAGGCTGCTGGTCCCATTACATTGTAGGCAGCACAGAAGAGCCCTACTGTATGGATGCTGGCAGCTAAGCTGCACCAGCAGATTCATTTTAAAAACCTGTCTGAAAGGCAGTTCCTGCCATCACAGCTGAAATCTATGTACTTGGCTGGGGTGCATGAGGCAGCATCACCCCCTACTAACCATGTGCAAGCAGTGTACTCCAGGCTGCAGCCCTTGCTTGCCCACCCTCCATGCTGAGGTCAAGCTACAATAGCGAGAGCCCTCCCCAAACCCCCAAGCTGTGTTTTTAAGTGGTTGTACAAGTACAAATGGAGGTCTGGGGGATGAGGGGAGGGGAGCCATGAGAGTATGTGAGAGGATGAGGTTTGAGCTATCCCCTGAGAAATGTTTCCCAAATGCCCCTCCCAGGCAGCCTCACCAGAGTGCGGCTGGCAGCGTGCTTTTGAAGGGGAGCATACTCCATCCAGAGTGACAGGTTTTTCTGTTGTGATTTCAAAAGGCCGATTTGGTGGTACTTGCTAGGACTGAGAATGAAGGACACCCTGTACCAGGGGAATTACTTTCTCTAGTTTTCTTCGTTATGCTGAAGACAAATGGAAAGCACAAAGCTGAGAGTGATGTGGTGGGGAGGAAAAAGGTCATGAACAGAAGTAATCACTAAAACTTTCTGTCCTTGAAATTTTGTCTGTACCTTGTATCTGATGGAAACTTAGTGCTTTGGCTTATAGCGCTTTTGTGTAAGGGGAAAGGGGAAAATTAAAACTGAATTGACAGAGGCTTTGAGATGTCTTATCTCCTGCTGGAGCCACTGAGAGGCAGGTACTTTTGTAGATCTGGGCTATAAATGCTCTCTAGGTCTGACTGCGTTAAGAGTGCTGGCATCTTTGCTGGTGGTGTGAAGACGGGCACAGCTTCATCTGTTTCCGTGGCCAAGAGCAGGGTAATGGACAGGACCAGAGCATGCTTTTCTTCTCCCATCTAGAGCAGCAGAGCAGCTGTGAGAGCATTCACAGCCACATGAAAGCAATGTAAGGAAGGCTATACTGCAAGTCAGGAGCTGAAAGAGGCACGGAGCATCTTGCCTGCTGGCTTCCCTTAGCCCCCAGCTTCCTGCAGTGTTCCAGCCCAAAGTCATTAGCCCCTACACAGGGTGTAGTTAGATGGGTTCATAGTTCCATTGTGTTGTTGGGTTTTTCGTTTGGCACGCATCATGTTCACAATTAAAACCCGTGTTTTTGAAAGGGACTTTTTAGGCTTGTTTTTGTTAATTCACAAATTATACCTATTCTGATGATATTTTATTTTGTGGTATTGTAAGAATCTTTTAAGAGCTTCCAGTCCTGCCCAGAAGATGAATCTAGAGGACCTGGGGGAGGAGGAAAGCTGGTGGTGTCATGCCGCTGGGCTCACAGTGACTGACTGCCACTGGGGCTGGAGGTGATGAGCAACAGGACGGAAAATCCAGAGCATCAGATAGTGCATGTTCTTATGAAAATGGCCAATTCACCTCATCTTTTATTCTTCATGTCACTGAATTAATTAAGTGGTTAGAAGCTTACCTGGAGCAGGAATAGTGCTTGAATATTGCTGTCTTGACAAGAATGTAGGTATTCGTCTGACTAAACTTTCCTCCAGTTAAGGGAAATAATGCAATATAAGTAATTAAATGGATTGAGGCCCAGGAAGTGGACCATTTTTCTGAATTAAAGCAGCAAGTTGTTAGATAAAAAAGAATTTGCGTCCTTCTCAGAAATGCTACAAACCAGCTTCATCCAGTTTCCAAAGATAAATCACTGCTGAATTTAACTTTGAACTTAACTAAGTGCTGGCCAGGACACTGATGAGTTCAGTGATGCTGAGAGCAAGAAATTTTCAATACCATCACTCCCAATAACATGTAGCTACAACAATCGATGAGTTTGATTGTTGTTCGACACCAGTTGTTCCCAGCGGGCTTCATTATTATCTAAACTCTGGCATCTTTGTTCATCTTCAGTGTTTGAACTGGGTAAGAAAGTCATATGCAAAATAAGGCAAGAAGAAGCATTTAGGTAAGGTTGTCTTGCATGCTGCACCCCTGCCATCAGTTATATGGCAAGTCAGGTAACAAACATTTTAGTGAGTGTGGAAAACAGGAATATTTACAGGAGAAATCTAAATGGCCGTAGGGGTGGTAGCAGTAATCACACAGCAAAGCAGAACACTCTGTTAGGTCCTTAGATTTGTTATAAGTTCCTTGCTGTTCTTCCCCAGTGAAATTTTTGTATGTGAGGCAGTTTTGATTAAGTCATTAATCTCGAGTGCTTTTCCTGAGCTTTTATCGTTCCATAGGCCTGGGGAAGAATAACTATCTGGGTTTTGCCGATAATAGGGAAACTGAAATATCCCTGCTTTTCTTTACCATTGCCCATTTTCCCTGCTTCTCCTAAATTGAACAAAAAACCAAGTGCATATTAGCTTTACATAAGGGGATATAAATCCTTTTTTTTCCTTTTTTTTCCCTCAACAAGACACTTCAAAGGTAATCATCTCATGTATGAATTTTATAGAGCCACCATTGCTCATTTTTGTGAGTTGTCCTGTTCCCTTAGATTTAAATGAAGCAATGAGTCTCCAGAACCTAATAGGTTTAAATTTTGAACTTTTACTCTGCATTGGGCAAAACATCAGGTCAGGAGCCGCCGACATGCTGACAACTGAATATGTTTGGAGAGAGAAGAATGATACTGGCCCATTAAAAACATCGTTCCAGGGTTTTTTCCTCCTCCTCTCCCTGTAAATTGCCACTGGAGTTGTTGTTCTAGCAGTACTAATGGCATATTTACAGGAAAAATTTAAATGGCCATAGGGGTTGTAGCAATAAGCTCACAGCAAAGCAGAATACCCTGATAGGTCCTTAGATTTGTTACCAAATTCCTTGCTATTCTTCCCCAGTGGAATTTTTGTATCATTAGGATCTGATAGCCCTTGGTCAATTAAAGCAGGCAGTCTTAGGCAGCAGGAGATCCACTGCTGGACTGGCTGGCAGCATGTCTTTTCCAAAGCTGTCATTGTCCTTGTTCCTACATAGACAATAAGTAGAAATTGTTTACAGTCATGGATAAGAACAGTATCTTTTCTTGATGTCTCATGAACTACTTCTGCTTTTAGAATAAACCTTAACAGTCAGCAATCGCTAAGCATAAAATACAGGCACAAAAGGTTTACATCTCTAAATAATTATCAGATGCCATCTTGCAATAAGCAGAAGGCTTTTTCATGTACCTTAAAATCTATTTAATACCTAATGGACTCCTAAATTATTCACAGGTTAAAGTGTTCAACTGTTGCTGTCATTTAAAGAGCAAGTACCCAGCAGGAGTCTTGCATAGGGCTTTGGAGATCATGTCAAAGTGTAATGTTTGATTCATTAAAGAAATGCTATACTTCCAAAGGTAATAGCATCCAATTTCTGTTCTGTTAATCCTGGCCTGGCTAATAAAAGGCATGGTGAGATTTCCTGTTTTGATTCTTACCTTCCCTGCTCAGTAAAGCTTTTCACTGTCCCACAACAGATTTGGGATCCCAAGTCACCTGGTACTGTTGCAATAAAATCTGTGAACTCTTAGGGGAGAAGCCTTTCTTTTTTCTGTAGTCCTGGATAACTGAAACAATATGCTTATTTCTGAGTGTAATTTATAACTCTGCTCAGCTTTCTGGAAATGGTATGTACGGGTAGGATATCTAGAGCTTGGTGTAAATCAAGGTAACTCCCCAAACTTTGTCAGAAACTGGGATCTGTTTTTTTGCTTTCTAAGGAAACATCATCCCTGATTTTCTAAGTTCCTCAAGCCTTCCCTGCTCGAAGTTAAGGTGGTAGGATTAAGTTCTCACAATTTAGTTTTGCTTTTTGGTGTCTGCTTGAATCCCTTGAAAACTTTGTTAAAAAGCAAAGCTTTTGGAAAACAGGAAAATCAAAAATGAGGAAGAGGAAACTTTTCATCATTTAAAAGCCTCTTTTGGTAAGGACCATCTTTCCTACTCTGCATTTTGAAAGCACCTTTTACTACTGGATGTTGGTTTGCGCACTTCCTCAGTCCCATCAGTAACCTAATAAACACAGTGAAAGCTTGATCTTTTTGTATGAATTGCCTATCCTCCATATGCTTCTGGCTTGTGGGGCCCACTGACTGTGGTGCCATGCCATTTGTCCTGAAGAACAACTGGGTGGCAGTGCTTGGCAGCACTGGTACCCAAACAACCGTCCTGACTGTTCCCAAGGCACAACGTACCCGTTTGGAGAGAGCAAAGTGGAGGCATCCCCCAGGTCTTTCCTAGTTGCTCTTGGGATTTTGGGGATGTGGGAAGGAAGCAGCAGTGCTGGGGCTCCCCTAACTGCAGGGTGGGAGCCCTTGAGCTTGGTCTCCCAGCAAGAGTTTTGCTGAGGCATTCATGAGCTTTTGGCTGTAATAGAAGGGAGGGAAAAAAGATCAAGGTGTGTCCTGCGAAAACTTGACTAGCTTGGTGTTGATCTAGTGGCAGGGAACTCAGAAAGGATACAGTAAAATCACCTAGTAATCTTATTAGGCGTTCACTGAGATCATTTACCAGTGAGAGAAAGATGTGTAAAAGCTAAAATGAGCCTTTCCATTTATACACCGGTAAGGAACTGCACATTGTTTAGTACTGATTTTTCTCAGGAGAAGGAGTTTAATTCTCAGGTTTATGGACAGGTTTCTCTCCAAACTGTAATATTTTATTACTCTTTTTTACAACACAATCATATACTGCCTTCAAATACAGAGCATATGTAGAGGAGGGGAAGACCTTAAGTAGCCCTTGCAAAACACCTGGGATGAGGGAGAATGACTGCAGTGTTGTTTCACAGGGCCCTGAAACATCAGAAAGATGGGAAAAAGGAGCCATTAATGTCCATTGATCTTCAGCTAATGCCCAGGAATTATTCCCGTGTGTGCTCACATGTGCCAGCTCACCCTGCTCCCAGAGCAGTCATGCAGTCCCAGGAGATGCTCTTTTTGCTTTTTAAAGCTCTGCTGTGCTGACTCTTCAAAGGGTGCCGGATTTCCATTTGATGAATTACTGGGTTGTCTATCCTTGCCTGCTAATTGCATGGGGAAATTTCTCTGTGACTTGCTGCCAAAGTCGTAACGGCATCACTTCTTACTCTGTGTCCATAAGGGTTTGAGTGGAAGGGAACTAAATTGTTGTGTTGTTATTTCAGTTAATTGAGATAATTTGTTTTCAGTTTGGGGTGTCCTCAGGTTGTGTGTTTTTGTAGATAGAACCTGCTGAAATGGCTACTGTGTGACATTTATCTCTATGAGAAATAGTTCCTTTAAGCATGTTCCACACAAGAGCGGAGAAGCTAATCCTGTGCCTCTGACAGAGGGTTATTTTTGTGTAATTATTTGTCCAGCTCCTCAGTAACATGGTATCAGGAAACAGGAATGATAATGTGACACTGTGCTAAGTGAACCCCAATCAAAGAACTAAGATGACTTTGTTGGGATTAGAAACTTGATACAGTCTTTTCCTTTGTCACAGGAGTATGTTTTCCAGCAGATAGATGGGTTGGATTTTTCCAGCACTGAGATACGTGATTTATTGGGGACTCATCAATTGCTATGTTTCAGAGAAATAAAGTGAGTGACAGGTTGGAAAAGAAAGGCAAGGAACAGGATGTGCAGAGACACACTATGAGACAGCCCGTCTCCCTGCAGTTGGGTGAAGAGCCTGCAGGGCTTCTCCCTGCCTCAGTGTTACCATGTCTTCCACACATATTTGGACCTCGACGGAAATCAGCCAGGAAAATATTGCGAGAGAAATACTTTGGAGTTGTATATGGTTGTCTGTCACAGAGCACAGATTTGCTCAAAGTCTTTCTTGCCTTCACTCACATTCTGATCTTGAGGCTAAAGCATGGGATACAACTTTGTTGTCTTGGTCATATAATTTTCTTCCAAGACTAAGGTGCCAAGTGGGTCAGTCCTCAAGTAGATCCCCAAGTTTCCATCCCAGGCAATGGAGTGCCGGGTTTCTTCTGCTGGCAGGTCACAGGGCTTTGGACACTGTCCTGCACTCAGAGGAGGAGGAATCCCTCCTGGAGGCTTTCATGGACAATTACCTCTGTCCAGCAGCTCAGGGTGATGTGGGTATACACGCTGGGAGCATCCGTCTGCTAGATATGTGGCAGGCAAGTGTTCAGTCTCAGTTGCTGGATCTCACCTGAAGTGTGTATGACTTCACTTGCTTCCCAATACCAGGGTTTGTCAGAGGCACCCAGCAGTAGGGAACATTGATCTGCACCATAGGTGGGGTAAGAGGTGCAGCCTGGAACAAAGTGAGGGTTTTCTCTATAACGTATGTAATATAACAAATGCTTCTGGTAGGAAAAGGTGTCTGGTCTGTGCTTTGCATGGGCATGTTTGGATTAATGCCGCTACCTCATTTCAGCATTGGGTGGTGGAAGGTGAACAAGGCATTGGTATTAAGAGCTGTTTCTGCTCTGGTTTCTGTTTCCCAGGGATATGAAGCTGGACGGTGGACGCCAGTGCCATTCTACTGGAGTATGTCTGAAAGAGATAATTGGTCTTGAAGGTGTGGAGCTTGGAGCAGACGGGAAGGTGGGGATGCTTCTGTTCCTAGTCCATTAGAGTTTATGTAATAAGGGTGAAAATAGCTTAACTAATAACAGGCACAAATATAAACCTAGGTTATAACATGCAGTGTAACACAGTAGTTGTTAAAGCACAGCCTGTGCAAACTGCAAATAAGCTTAGCAGAAATTCAGGACAACTGCCCAAGCTGTCAATGTGAACAACTCTGTCTCCTTGAAGAAATTTGCCTCTGGCAACATCTCAGTCTGTAAAGCATTGCTGAATTGTGCAGCCTTCCCCTGGCTCTAGCAGGTGGTATCACTGCAGAGTATATTGTCAGGGGCCTGAAAATAATTTCTGTTGAGAGTTGTAAGCTGTAATTTTGTTTGCTCTCAATTTTATTTAATAAAATAACTTTAGCTTAACAGTGTGTTTTCCCACAGAGCAGGAAGACAGTAGCACAAATCTGATGAGTATTTAAAAATCCAGGAGTTTATTCGCTTGAATAGAATAAGCAGTTACGAATCTTTAAGGAAAATGATCCATTTTAAACAACTCATACATGAAAACAGTTTTTGCTGAAAGCCTGATTTACTTTTTATAGTTCAGTTTACCCAGTCTGCTGTCATAGGTGGATTTAGAGGCCCTCGGTCAACGCTGCTACACATGGTGTGCTCACTTAACCAGGTGTCAGGCCAGACCACAGGCTGTAAATTCCTGAGGACAATCTGTTTGCTTATAAATGAATGAAAGCTCACATGTTTTATTTGATACCTGTTCTGACTTCATCGTAAACCAGTCCAGAGCCTGAGACTCTTTTTTTTTTCTTCAAATAATGTTATTTTTGGACAACAAACCAACGAGAAGCAAGGCTTTGCCTATTCCTGGCCAGGGATACAGGCAGAGAAGCAGTGTGGTCTAAAAATAATTTTGTCACAAGTTCTTCATTCACACTTAGTCCATGTTGAGAGGCAGTAAATGATCTCCTGCAACCATTGCTACAAACTGGAGCTCACTTAACTACACCAGTAAGACTCTGCCAGGCAAAATACTGAAGGAGAAAAATACCAGAGAAAGTGCTTAATTTCAGTAACATTCAGCTGATTTGCCTCTGGCACATCTGTGCTGAGGGACCCATATAAATGATGCTGTTTCAGTAAAGAAGCAGCTGAAATCTGCTACAGGGAAGGCCCACTGAAAACACCCAGCCAAAACCCAGCCAAACAGACCTATTTTTAAATCTGACCCTTGAGTAGGATTTTGTAAATCCAGTGTATTAGTGCCTCTGTGTGTGTGGTTTCGTTGAAGAACTAATGCCTTTGAAATGCTTTTTTTTTTTTCATGGGTAAACTGACTGCACTGAATCAAATGTAGGTGACTGGTGCTTATTCATTTATGCGTAACTATTAAACCCAGAAAATCCTCTGCTAATTTGGCTTCCCTTGCTTCTGACTGCGATGCACCAGAAGGAATCCTGCTGTGACTGAGCTGGGTTAAGAGTAACTGTCTCTTCTGACTTTCCTTTTAGACGGTTTCTTATACACAATTCCTGTTTCCCACCAATGCTCTGGGAACTCGGAGAAACACAATAGACTCCACCTCGTCCTTCTCCCAATTTCGCAATGCAAGCCATCGTAGCCTTTCTTTGGCAAGAGCTAACAGCACCCAAGGGAGCATTGATGCAGGTAACTTCTCAAGAAGCTTATTTTAATATCCTTGGGTATCCTGGTGATAGGCAGCTGTTGTGGAGCATGGCCATATTTTAAGCTCTTCTATTTGCTTAAATTAAGCAAAATGTAGTCTCGCGTGTTGGGTGAAGTGCAGCTCATACCCTGTTTGTTTAGCAAAGCTGGCTTACAGATGATGGAAGGTTAAGTAAACAAAACTGCTGGTTGTATTGACAGCCCTGATGACACTCAGCCTGCCTCCTCCTGTCACGGGCATTGTTTGTTCCTCCTGCATCAGGCTTATCATTACCTTCCTTTGCTATGGAAAATTTACAGTGACAACACAGTAGCTGAAAGTGTAAACCATACTTATGACCTTTATTAGGCTGGGAAGGGCTGTGTTTACAAAGCTGGGCACAAAACATAAGCCAAAGCACTGTATGCTTAAGATATTTTGGCACGTTAAATGAAACAAATCAAAACATCTGCATAAACAGATGAAAACTTGTTGCCAGGAAGTCATTGTGATGCTTTGCATAGTTTTGCAGTTCTGTGAACCCTAATTTCACATTTACTAGGTAATTCATAAGCTGTAGGTCCTCTATATCTCTGCAAATTCTATTAGTGTTGAAATACTTGGAGTTTTCAAGATATAGGGTAACTTTTTAACTCTCAAAAGTCTTCCATGAAGATCATCTTGTGCATTATCTATTAAGTCATTTGCCTCTTCTGTGTCATTATCTATTAAGTCCAGAGATTTCTTGATATAATGAATTCCTTTCTTATATTTACCTTTGTTTTATAGGTAGTGACCTGGGAGACTTTGTTGAATACGACCCAAATCTTTTAGATGATCCCCAGTGGCCATGTGGCAAACATAAGCGGGTTTTAATATTCCCTTCATATATGGTGAGTGATATGCAAAATTAGGGGTAGCACGGGTAAATTTTGGTAACAGTATTTTGAAGGCTGAGGTTACATTTGGCTGTATTTTAAGAAGATTATTATTATTATTTTTAATCTACTAATAACAGCTGTTTGGAATGCTTTGTTCTGAATGACACTTACCAAGACATGTAAAAACAAACTCGTGGAGGTATTACAAAAGTAAATGCTAGCATTACCGCTGTATTTCATAAATGCTTTAGATGAAAGGCTTGTTAGAACAATGTGTTCATTCTCTCGCGTTCAGAGGAAAATTTATACTTCCTCTAATTGGCATCTGTGACAAAATCGGAGGATGCCCATTGGGGTTTTTCTGAAGTCATGAAGTTGCGTTGTGTTTTGATGCTTATCCTTCACTCCTCGGAACAGCACTTTGGTGTCTAGTAGGGCCTTTGTTTCCCAGGTATTTATTTCACCATGGGATAGTTCTTCCTCTAATTGCAGCAATTATAGCAGAGCCTGTATGTTTTTCATTATATCCAAACCCGTAACAATACAGGCACATAACTGTTCTTTGTTCTGTCCTCTAGCTCGATGATTTCTGTGGTGAGAGACTTCTGTAGGCTTGTTTTAATTGCACCAAGTCTGTAGACTTCAGTGTGCTATTTTGGCAGGACTGTGGCAAGATGCAGTGCCGTTGTATGTGTGTGAGCATGGATCTGTCTGAATTATACACCCAAAGTAATAGTAGACAGCAGGGAAAAGCATTTTTTTTTCCGAAGTGGTCACCTAGTACTCTTATCTATGTACAAATAGGATAGGATTTGAAACACTGGGGTCTAAAGTGTCATCCATGTCCTCACCTAACTTGGAACAGAAGATGTTATTTAAGAAACTACTAATGTATGTAAAGATACAGTCTTTGTAGGTTCTCTTCTGCAACCCAACCTCATCTGTATTCGATAATAGGGCTCTTGGGTGCTACTTCTTCAAAATAAATGGATTTTAAGTGTTTCACATAGATTTGAAGGTTACCTCCTTGCTGGCAGGAGTGTTTTGCCTGTTGCACAGAGAAGTTGAATTGAGCTCTGAGGTTGTGTTTGTGCTAAGTTTTCAAATGGGGAGTGCGGTACGTTGTCTGCTTACTTTCAGCCAGTTGGCAAGTCAATTTTTGCCTGCCAACTCACAGACTTTCAACCTTTTATGGCAACTACATCTGGGTGGGAAAATATTTGTTAGGTTTTGATACGGTTATTGTCATGGACGGGGAACTGTCTTCCCTCAAAGAGAAAGACATTGTTAACCAGCATACAGAATGAACATAGCTTTAGCAGTCATGGTTGTGTTTCTAACCTTCCCTAGGCAGTGAATGTGCACCAGGCAATGAGTCCTGTTGGATCATCTGAGATCTTTGATCCCTTTTCAGCTTGGTGTTGAGATGGATATGATTGGGTGAGTTAAAATAGGGCAGCCAGGATAGCATCCTGCAGGGGAGGTTTCCACTCAGGAGTGGGTATTCAATGCCCCTCTTTTCCATATGCTGGTTAACCACAGAATCTTGAGGTCCATATTTGTACTTCTATTGGAAAAAGGAGCTAACTGGGAATTTCCACTGCAACAGAGGTACAGTTGGATACCTCAAAGGTGAAAAATGGGCTTTAAGGGCAGTTGTTAACATCATTGTTATCAACAATATATCTGAATTGACAGGGTTCTCCCAGCTCTTTCATTTTCTCTAGGGGTTAATTACTACTTTTGCCTTATTTGACATTTTGGTACTTTTTGCCTGAATTTGCCTTTCGGATGTCATTTCTTCATCACTGCCTGAGGTTTTTGCAGCACTCCCTTCTCTCTGAAGGCAGGCACTGATCTGAGAAGGGTCTGAAGTATATTAAGTGCTGTGTTTCTTTTGTTGGGGGGAATCACAGGCACATGCCAGGAGCTATCTTACGGAAGGATTTTGCCTGCCCCTGGTTGAAGCAGCATAGCTGCAGTGCTGTGCAAGAGCTGCACACCTTTGTAAGAAACCAGAGAGTCTGTGATTGTTCTTCAGTGCTCTGCTGAGATTTCTCAATGGACTGGTACTTCCTTCAGCCGAGAGAAGGGAGAAAAGGTAGTGCCAGTGTGTCCTGGGAGCTTGAAGGTTAAATAGGATTTTGCAACTCAGGCTGTGGGTAAGGAGGGCTTGTGCAATGAGCTAGGGAATATAGGGCTATATTGGCTGTGTAGGAGACTTTACTCACATCCATCTTAGACTTTCCTGACTCAGCTGGTAATCCCCCTCCTTGCAGTTCCAATCAATGTGAACAGGAGCATAATAGGCTGTAATTTCAAGTAATTTTCTTTCCCAAATATAAAAATCAGCAATTAAAGCAAATTGCAGTCTGAGGCCAGTGAGAAACCTGTGTTTTTCCTTGACTGAGCGCAGCCATCGAGGTAGTGACAGAGCTCTGCTGTACACAGATTGAAACCATTCTCTGGTCCTGAGCAGAACCTAGCTCATAGTAGTAATTGCTGCCTTTTGCAAGTGCTGGAGCAGCTGAGAGCAGCTCTGATGTCAGCACCAAACATTGTGTTGTGTGCAGAGAGTTGCAGCTTGTAATTAAAGTTTCGTTACTTGGGCAGCATTTAGTATTAATGCTTGGCAGCTGCAAGCTTGTAGATATTCCATGTACCCTCCTTCTTATGGGTATCAGAGCAATGGGGGAAGGTGTGTGAGAGGAAGGGGAGCAGCACAGGGTGGTGTGGATGAGCAAGTGTGGATGCTGGGCTGCAGCATGCAGGATATGCTATGTTCCTGGGATATTATGCTAGGTGCTATGCTATATAGCTGTGTGTTATGACAGTGGGATAGAGCTACATGCTGCTGGGGTATTACTCCTGGGGGCCTGGCTCATGCTTTGTAGGCCAGCATTTCTCTGCTGGTAAAACTCTGTTGAGGTCTGTGTGAATGCTGCATCAGTAAACACTGCAGGCTTTATCCCAAGGCATAAGATGGGCAGGATGTGTGGTCTGGCTTGAATTTTACTCTGAAATACATGCAGTTAACACTCAACATACGGTTCCATCCATTTTTGTGGAGCCCAAGTTTATCATCAGTGACATTGACTTTATGGTCGTGTAATTTTACTGGGCTAAATTAGTCCCAGCTTGCAGAGGATTTTTAACTGTAAGTCCTCTGGAAGGTGAAGTGCTTTTGATTTGGTCTGTTTTCTGCAGTGAAGTTCCTGGCTTGAAAGGATGCCCACTTCCCTGTTGCTTTTCTAACACAAACAGCCTGTCTGGGTGATTCTGAAAAAGCAGCTTCAATGCCTTACCAACACAAACCGTGGTTTTTGTTTACTGTATCAGTAACACTTAATTTCTGGTCTGTCCTCAAGAAATTACTCCACTTGCTGTTGTCTTTGTAGGAGAGTCTACTATCTCTGCCACAATATAAACAGTCAGAGGAAGAAAAATTCATGGTGGGGGGCAGGGGGAGGAGGGAAGCATCATGTCATGGTTAACAGATGTCTTCCTGGCTGATAGCGCTGAACCAGGAATTCTTGCAGATTCTTAAATTTCTCTAGAACAGGAATTTTATCTACCAGACAGCAGTAATTTCTTTGCTAGAGCCTCGTATTGACTAGCATACATCCAGACTCATGAGTGCCTCCCTGCCTCCCTGTGTTCTTGCCAGCAGAAAGAAAACTCCTTATGTGCAGGAGGAAACTTGCTCTGCAACAGGCATGAGGCTGACCCTGCACTCCTGCTTTTGTTGGTAACAAAGAAACTACAGAGGAGTGTGTTAGCTGGCTGCTGTGCCCTGCCAAAACTTCGAGTAAAAGAAGAAAAGCCTGGACCAGTAGCATCTTGACTTTGAGTGCCCCTTCTGTAATAACATCCCTGCTATATCCATCTACCCGTGCCTAAGGGGTACACATGGAAATTGGTTTGGGTACCTCACTACAATTTCAGTATATTGGTTTAAATATGTCAAAACAAACTGATATCTCTACCCCACTAATCAAAAAAGCTTGTAGCAAAGGTCTGCAGTGCTCTTGCAGCTCTTGTCAGCCTGACTTTGCCAGGTACTGCACTAGTGTCAAGCACAGCCAGGCTTTGTTATTACAGATTAGTCCTTCAGTGTGATTTTAAAATTAGAGCTGCTTGCTGCCCTGGCTGTGCAGTCTAACAAAAAACCCTGCATGATGATACAGCGCGTTCAGTCTCTTGCTCCCCTGTTCCGTCTTTCACAAGCAGCATCAAGGTCAGGGGTAATCGGCTACTGACAGTGTCCTTCAGTGCCATCACCCTGTTCATCGAGCTGCTTCTGTAGTTGTAAATTAAGCTTCTCCAAATTGCATTTTTATCAGTTGCTGACCTTGTACCCAAAAGTCTCATGGAGCAGAGGACTGCAGTCGTGGTGCATAGTCATATTTAAACCCTGTGCTCTATGAATTTGGTGCTAGATTTGGCTGAGACTCCAATAAACAACTGCTTTGTAACAATGACACACTGCATTAATTGAATGATTCCAGTGTGTTAACTGCATAAACTGGTGCCCTTCCATGTACTTTAATTCAAAGAGGCAGTTTTGAGATTGTCAACTTCAAAATCTTTCAGTTCATGAGCGTTGAATGTTAATAACCATCTAACAACAGAGACATCTTTAGTCTCTCCTTTCCTTTTTTTCCTCTTGTGGTTCTTTTTACTTTAATTATGCATAAGGAACCACTCCAGTTTTCCATCACTGTTTTAAGCTCTGTCAGGATTTTCCATATATATGCATCTTCAGCCTAAGTATATGGAGTTGATTGCTGACAGTTTATAGGTACATAGCTGGTCACTTGCAGTGTGTAGGCAGTGCACAGTCATTGACTTCATTTGTTATGTGGTTGAGAATTTACCATTGATCTGCTGAAAGTCTGTTAAAGGTATCAGTCCTCTGTCGGCTCTCTCTGTGAAGCAGATTTATCAGGGGTGCACAGTAATGACAACTGAAGAGAGCCTATCGTGTATCTTTCATTTTATTCACCTATTTTATTCTCATTTTATCCTTCTTAAGCAGGAGATAGAGGCATCCAAGGCTAGATCATCTTTTAGGGGTAGCATGCCAAAGTAGGATTTATTTTCAACAATATTTCATCTTGCCAGTCTTTCCAGCCATTTCAGGCATCCTCCCCTCTCCCATATTTATGAAGCTATATATACAGCTTTCCTATGAGAAAGCAGCTGTTTGAAAATGCTTGTGGATAACACACAAGCTAACCTCCAAGTTCAAAACTGCCAGCCATGCAAAAAGTGTGCAGAGTACAGATTCCAGCTAAAGCATTCATCAAGTTGTCCAGGCATCTGTCAGCTACCATATATCAAGGCTTTCATTTGTCTTGTGGGACTCCATCTCCAAACTAAAATACACAGATTTGTATACAGAGAACATGAACAGAGCTCAGGAAGGGGGATTGCTGAATACTGCAGTGAAATGCATTTTGTGCAAATAAGCTGTGAGAAACAAGACAGATGTTTCTGGATGACAGAAGTTGCAAACATTCAAGACTGGCGTATGAGAGAGACAGTTTGGTAGTTCCCAGTGCCTTGCTTCTGCGTCTGACAGCTCTGGGAGTGCAGAGTGCCTGCCTGGCAGGGAATAACATTTTGTATAAGAAAGAATGTTTGGATAGAAAAAGGCTGTGTTACTTTTAGGGAAATATTTGCAAATCCTTCATAAAATTTGGGGCATCGGTGTTGGAAGGGTGCTCCTACATGGGCAATACCAGCATTGTTCTGGACAGACAAAAATCCACATTGTTAACAGTCATGTCTTCTCCCCAGCATGGCATTTGGGACTTGCAGGCAGCTCAAGCACAAGGAAATGGCCTAAGAGAAGAGAAGCGTAAATGCTGAGCAGAGAACAGACAGTGAAGGGTGCTGTTAGGTCAGAGCCTTCCCATGTCAGATCCCAGCTTGTCCTTGTGGGTCACTGGGCCACCCCAGTGGTTTCTTCCAGTCCATTCCTCATGGGCAGGGTTGGCAGTGCTGCAGATGTCCAAGGCAGGAGCAGGGTCTGGAACAAGGATTTCCATGTAGCCTTGTGAGTGCTGTGCCCCAGCCATGGTGTGACAGTGAGAGGGGTGCTCTGGTACCCAGTTAGAAGGGGTAACTGCTTCGATAACTCAACAGACAGTAATTCAGCACTGATTTTATATTACCTGTCAACAGATAAAATGTCTGGGGTCTGTGCTGCCTGCCTCTCTGGTGGGCAGAGTCCCACATGCATGCACTTCTATAGGCAAAGAGCATCCCTCTGCTCAAACCAAGTTGGGCTTCTCCAGCAGCTATGAAAAAAAGTCAAGGGGAAATGAAAAAAAAAACCAGAAAAAAGACTCTGCACGATTCCTTTTCTTGAGAATGAGGGCAGTTGGCTGCACTCTCCAGCATGGCACTGACAAGCTGAGACAGCTGCCTTAGAGCCAGTGTGTTCAAACATGCTGCCGTTATCCTGTTACATGAATCAAAACCAGCACGCACCAGCTTTCATCTGGATTTCATTATTGTGATTTATGTCATAGAGACTGTTGTCTCGCAGGAAGCTGCAATATTTGGAGTACTGGATGGGGGAGATTGTTATCAACAGGACAAAATTGACAAATCTCCCTGTTTAAAAATAGCCATACCTCCTTACCATTTTCAGTTTTAAGCCCTCTGCTTATTCTGAAGCCTCGGAGTGCTTTGCTTTAAATACAGTTTTAACAAAGGGCTTTTCTCCTTCTAAAGATAATTTCAGCTGAATTCTGGCAAACCTCCCATGGGCTGGAGGAGCCCCAGGTAAAGCAGATGGTGCCCGCAGAGCGGCTGCAGGGAAAGGTGCACCCCAGGGGGCTGCTGCTGCTGTATGGCAGAGCCCAGGGCTCACTCCACCTCTGCACCCTTGCCCACAGATCTGGGGTCACACTGGCACCTGCTTGCTAGAGGTGAAAGCAACTGAAACGTGCTGTCCAGCATGATTTGTGTGCAGCCCTTCAGCTGTGTCCAGAGGATGGGCAGGCCCTCCATCCATTGCTGAGCCCTGTCTGCTGTGAACTGGTTTCTGTTGTGCTCATGAGGTTGGTGCCTTATTGCATCTTCCTCTGTTCAAGGAAGGATGATTACCTGCAGAGAGCCAAAGGCAAGGCTGCCAGAAGAAAAAAGTAATCACTTTGAGGGAGATAATGAAGATAAAACTAAGGAGCTAATGGAAAGCAAACAACAGGCAGTTAGTTGAGCAGTAAAGCATGGTATAAGGTGTTGTGTAGCTTTGCACAGTAACAGAGAACTCACTCGTTCTAGGATTGCCCAAGACAACCAAAGATTGCTCTGGTAGTAACAGAAATCAACTTTGGATTTAGTAACTAAAATCATCTTTGGATTTAGTAGCAGGTAACCTTTATGTGCTCAGTGCCTCTTGACTCTGTAAGTAAGAGCAGCATGAACTGATGTTTCTATACATTGAGTAGCAGATGGCACTGGTCTGAATTATGTTACGTGGTTTGTTTCAATAGTCCTTTTATAGCAGTACTAAGAGGAACCCTCTTAAAACCACATAAAACTCCCAGTGTATCTGTGTGTCAGAAGCACCCAACTTGCTGTTGATCCTCTGACAGCAAAACCAAGGAGCAGGAAGGCCGGCAGCAATGTTGCAGAGAAAGAAAGGAGTAGTCAGTAAGATCTTAATTCTCCTGCTTCAGAGGGCTGACCCCTGCCACATGAGAAGCTTTCTGCAACGGAGAGCCCGGCTGCATGAGTGCATGAGTATATCCTGCCAACCTCATCAAGATTAAAACCAGTCCCACATATTCAGTTGAAGCCTTTCCCTGTGTCCCTGGGTAGGGCAAGGTTTCTTCTCCCTGTCTTTTCCTCTCTTTTTTATTCAGGCATAGTACTGCATTGCCTGCCTCAGCATCAAGACAGCATATGAATATTTAACCTCAGTGGCACTGCAGTGTCTGCCCAGATCTGCGCTTGAGCTCATCTGTATGCATGCAGAGCAGCAGGAGTGACTGAAGAGGGTTGATGTGACTTTCTCCTTTTTTGACAATTCCTTACGACTGAAAGCTTTCCTTAATAGGAGTGAATTTCCTTAAGAAATTATCCTCTTTACTGAGTAAAATTCGGACTAATGCTTAACACATACCTGTGTCGGAGAGGGCTCACAAGCATTAATACTTGGGACGACAGATGCACAGCAGAATTACCTGCCAGGTTGTTCTGGGGATCAATTTATCTGGACAGATGATGGTTTTCACCCTGCAAATCAGATAGCAGAATGGCCCGCATTTTAAAACATGTATGACCCTAACAACACCCCATGGCAAGAAGCTGTTTTTTTCCTCTATATGTATACCTCAGATCCTGCTGTGTGTTGTTCAGGGGAAACACATGCTTTCTTTGAAACTGCTTTAATTATCCATTATTTCGGTACTGTATCTCCTAAATAAGGTGCAGGAAAAGTTAGGTGTGTTTTGCTCCCCTTCATGCTGATTTCAGAACCAGACAAGGACATAGCCAGGTGACAAAGAGTTGTCTGATTGCTCTCCAGAGCCATTACTCTGTCTCCTCCCCAAGCCCTCCCATATATTATTTTAATTATTGAAAATACCTGCAAGCAAATGTGTGCTATGGTGGTCAGCAGTTTGTACCAGCAGTTCCTCTGAAGAATCAATGTAAGAGAATCTCACAGTAAGTCTCAGAACCGCATGGACATATGCACACAAAATATGGTCATCAAATCAGTTACTGTGATGGTTTTTCTGGTTTAACAAGACTTCTCAGCCAGGTTTTATCCACCCATATTTAGCTTAAACTCACTCTTAGCAATACCTGGAGGATCCTTATAAGGTATGTATTGTTCAAGGCTTGTGCTGAATGGTTATCTCAGACTCCGGGTCACTTGTTCTGATGGAGCAGTCATAAACAAATTGAATTAATTTGCCCCTCTGCTGAAAGCATTGGAACTGACTGGCCCTTGTTTGGTATTCCTTGCTTTTGGGAATTGAGTGATCTTGTTTGGTACAAACTAAAAGAGAATTCTCTCTTGACCATGTGTTACAGACCACAGTCATAGACTACGTGAAGCCATCAGATCTCAAGAAGGACATGAATGAAACCTTTAAGGAGAAGTTCCCTCACATCAAGTTAACCCTCAGTAAAATAAGAAGGTACGTTGCAAAGCTTGGTAAGGCTGCAACATGATGCAGCTGTCTCACATGTCGGTGCAATTGCTGCTGTACGTGAGTGGAAGCACAGCAGTGGTTGATCTTCCAGGAGCAGTGACCAGCAGAGGTGCAGAACAAGTCAGATGATTGCTTTGATTAGTGGGCTGAGTAAAGAAGATCAGGGAAATGCAACATCTGAAGGGATGAGGATGTGAGCTGGGTATGCACTAAACTAAAATACCCAGAAAAATAACACGGAGTCTCTTAAGCTCACGGCAGTTAGCTTAAAAGGGCACTGAGGAAAGAGAAATGACTTTTGTGCCTTGTCCAAGAGCATGGTTAGAAGCAAAACAGGTGGTCAGTTTCAGAGCAAAGTTGTAGTATTTCATCACTGTTTCCAGTGTAGCAAGCTAGACATACTGCTTCACTGAAGTAATGATAATTTCATTTGACTGAAGTGGCCGGAAGGACACTGAGCCATGTGGCTCTGTAGCCAAGCAATACTGCAGTACATGGGAAGACTGTTGGTTTGGATTTGACCAACCTTAACCAGCAGCAAAGCTGCATACAGAGCACAAGCAATCAACCTGTTGTTACTTATGCTGAATAAATTGTACACAGCTTAAGACCTCTGATGAAATACTGTTGCTGAAAATGTCAAAGCTTTTCAGTTGCTTTTATAGTTTGACACAACTTTCTGGGGGCGGTGAGGGGGAAGGATGAGTTCAAAACATGCCAGAAAATGTGTCCCCAGAACAGAGTATAAAGGCAGCTGCCCAGTAAATTACCTTTTCCTTTTCCCCTCCATTTGACTAATCAGGAATCTCTGAAAGGATGATTCTTAGTGTAAAATGAGAAATGCTTTAAAACACAGTTCACAGCATACTTGTCTGCTCTCTTTACTCAGCTTGAAGAGGGAAATGCGCAAGCTTGCTCAAGAAGAATGTGGTTTTGAAGAGCCCACAGTGGCCATGGCCTTTGTCTACTTTGAGAAGCTCGCTCTGAAGGGGAAGCTGAACAAGCAGAATAGAAAGCTTTGTGCTGGAGCCTGTGTTCTTTTAGCAGCCAAAATTGGCAGTGACCTCAGAAAACATGAAGTCAAGCATCTTATAGATGTACGTATCCATAGGTTTCCAGTGTTCCTTCTACGTGAAATGCCAGTATGTGGTCTATTCAAGCCAGCTTGTCAGTGGTCATGCTGTCCTTTAGGTTTCCAGCTGTACAGACAGCTACATACCTTTTTTTTGTTATACATTTATGTGGAAGTAGTAGTGATCCATGTCACTGCAGAGGTGTGGGACGCTCATTTGATGTGGTTGAAAACCCTGGTGTCAGGTACTGTGAGGTCTGAAAGGTATCTGACCCCCATTCTGTCAATACAAGTGAAAAGTTAACCCTCAGGAAATTCATTTTGCCTTTTATTATGTTTTCGAGAGTGTCAACAGGACTCTCCTTTGAGAGATAAATGTAGATACTAATTTCAGAGGGAGTCTAATAGACTAACAATTTTTTATTTCTTTCATCAAGTTAAACTTTTGGGCAAGAAAACCTGAAGAAGTGTTCCCATCAGAATGTCTCACGCGAGCTGTTTTTTTGTAGAGTAAGGTGTTTCCTCTTCCACCCACTCCATATGAAAATGTTAACAGAGGGGAGTGTTATTCCGTAATCTTTTGCAAGCACCAAGATACCAATCTGATTTAATACTACAGGAAGTTGGGTGCGTAACTGGGTACTTGGCTACAACCAACTCAGTTGAAGAGATGTGGGAACTTGGCTGGAGGGCAGGACTGGACTCATGCCCTTCTGCCACAATCACAGACTCGGGTTGACAGTTTGTCCTAAACCCCTCTGAATAACCAGGGAAAAGAATCAACCGGGTGGGAGTTGGAAGATCTGGCCTCTCTTGCTGCCCTGAAACACTGAGCCATCCTTAAGACACATAGGGATTTTCCAAAATACAGTGGGCACAGAGAAGTAGCAAGCCAGGGAGATCATAAGAAGGGAGTGGGGAAATACCCCTAAACATCTGGCTGCCTACTTGTAGCATCCAAATCCAGTGAGAACAGTAGAGCAGATGGGAGGTTTAGTACTTTACAGCAGAAAGCCAACTATGAAACCCATCTCATCTCCCTTGAGAATAGCAGTTTTTTATTACTTGCTGTTCTTATGGCTGTTGCAGATGACAACTGAGGTATTAAGATCAAATGTATCTAATTGTAGCAGAAACAATTTTCCCAATAGGGTGTTGTAACACAGTGATGCTGAAAGGAAAATTAGTGATTTCAAGCAGTGCAGGAAGTTTGTGGGCAGACGCATGTCTTCCATTACACAACTGATTTCAGTGCATGAAGGCAGGAGTTTCCTCTTCCTGCAGTGGTAATCACTGTGATCATTAGAAGATGTAGCTGCTGGAGGTGGAATGAGCGAAATGGTGAACGTGTCAGAAATAGCATGGCTGGCTGAGTTTTGTGAGTTCACCTTTACATTAAGGAATCAGTACCTCCAGTTCACCCTGCTCTCATTTTCTAAACCTAGAGCCGTGCAAGTCCAGTGGGACAGAGGCTTAATGACAGCAGCATGCATGTTTTTGAATCATGGCATCTGTAAGAAAGTCACATACTGACTCAGAGAGATTTTGTTCTGTTTCCTTGGCCGTCCTTGCAGAAACTGGAAGAGAAGTTCCGGCTGAACAGGCGAGAGCTGATTGCCTTTGAGTTCCCAGTGCTGGTGGCCTTGGAGTTTGCTCTCCACCTTCCCGAGCACGAAGTGATGCCGCACTACAGACGCTTGGTGCAGAACTCCTAGCGCTGGCTGCCCTGCGGGGAAGGGGCTCCCGACTGTTCCCGCTTGGCTCTCCTGAGCCGCAGTTACTGCTGGAAGTGCAAAATCAGACTCCTGACACTTCGCTCTCTCTCTCCCCAAAACAGTTTTTCCAACAACGTATAGGAGATACTGCATTGACTCAAGACTCTCAGCTTTGACAGATTTACGTTATAATTACTTTCTCAAGGCAGGTGAAGTCTGAGCTGTTGGTAAATGGTTAACATGCTGAAACTGCATGGTGACTGGCCCTATCTGTGGGGACTACAGCTGTAAAAGTAGGCAAAAATTAGAAGGGCAGCCTCCATGACCACCCCTCTCTCTATCACACAAACCCTGGAAGCCCACGTGAGTGCATTCTCATAGCGCTTTTTCTAACAACCTACTGCGACTTCCCAGAGGACTTCTTAAAGTGAAAAAGCTTTTAAAGAGGATATCTTCACTGTGTCAAAAAGAATGTGCCAATCTATTTTTGTATCAGCAATTGAAAGTGCACTTTTTCCTGTGGGGTGTTTGTGTGTGTACTCGTGTGTGTGTGTGTGCGACACCGAGCTGATCTCAGTCCAGGTGGTTGGCTTAGCTGTTTCCAAGTGTCTCAGTTACCGATGGCGAAGATCAAGGTGACCTTACGTGTTTACTTCTTTAAAAACATAACTACTGGAAAAGTGGTAAATGGGATCATTTTTTGGACACTTGGTTTTTTTTAGTCTCTGATCTTTCACACATTGTACCTTTGACAGGATTACACTACTACTACTATGAGAGAAGGATCGGCAACTGACCTTAAGTTTTCAGTCATGTTTGTGATAAAGACGAAAGCATTAGTATGAGGTTTCCATGTCATGTTTTTTAAAACTATCTTGTGTTAAGCCACATGCATATTTTTAACCTTCGCACTTTTCCCACTGTGGAGATGGTTAGACTTGCACTCTGTAGTGTTGTATTTCTGTGCTCTATGTTAGAGTGCGTAATAAGCACATTTATTGTGCTCTATCTTAAAACAGTGTTTTATTAAACAAAAAAAGCAAAAAGAGTAGGGCTCAGCAGTATAACAGGTGTCTTAAGGCTTCAGCACCAGGGCCATCAGCTATTAAAGGCTTGGGGTTTAACTAGAATTGACTGTGCGGAACCTAAAATCAGTGCCCATTGAAGTAAGAGATCCAGCTCCTTTAGACATTTCAGTACTGGAGTTTTACAGTAAAACTTCTTGCAGCTTCCCTGGTTCTGACTGGACACCCAGAAATCTGGAGGGCTTCACCCAAGCACCCCGATGCTACATACACACTAAGCTAACGCTGTGCTGATGGACATCATTTGATTGCTGTTAATCCTGTGGGATTACCCCCCTGTCCAATCTTCTCCTGTGCTGGTTCACTTAACCTTGCCCTTCACATGCCCCACATGTATCTGGCAAAGTCAAATACTTACATTTATGGTAATTCTATAAAATAAATGATAATCTCAACTATGAGGTATTAGCTGAAGCCTTACCTCTCCAAGTTTGGGAGTGCTTGCTCAGAGTATGGAAAGGGCTTGTGAGCAGACCATAGAGAAGTGGGACATAACAGAAGATGTAAACACACTAATGCTTACTTTCTTTCGCTCTTGCTTTAATCAGTTTCATTGTTTCCTTCAGTTAGGCCAGGAAACATCCAGTTTCTTTACCAGCTTTGACTCCTTTAAATTCTAGTATGAAAAATGCCTGCATATTGCTCTATAGAATCTGGAAAGGTTACACATGTCAGGACAAATGGGAATTTGTTGGATGCCGTTGCTCTTCCTCTATTTTAAGGGGGAAGGTGACTATGCTAGCTTACAGTTACTATTAATACTTACCGTGGAACTAGATGATCTTAAGGTCCTTTCCAGCCCTAACTATTCTAAGAGGGGGTAAAGAGGAAAGCATGCACTTAACCTCCCTGGTGCAATGCCCCACGTTGCTGAAACCCATGTGCCACTCACCCAGCTGTGGAGCAAGGGGAGGGGGGCCCTTGCCAGTGCTCCGGCTTCCTCCTCCTCCTCCTCCCAGCCCTCATGCAGCCAAAGAACAGAGGAGCCACGAGCTTGGAGCACACCTAATGCCTCTGTCTGCCCTGCCTGTTTATTCAGCTCAAAAAGGCAGCACAGTGTTGACCTACAGGCCTGTGGGTCTGCTAGGAGGGCTCCCATCCTTGGCTGCATCCCTTTCCACCAAAATAGTGTATATACATTCAAGATTTGCTTCTGATAGCAGAGATCTGTTTCTAATAGCAACCACTCAATGCTAAGCAGAAGCTTTACCTTTCAGTAAAGGCTTCTACCTTTTGTTTTGAGTCTGATTTTTTTTTCTTACATTGCTTTATAGTATTTGCAGGGAAAAAGCAAATCGTGATTGCAAGATGCAGACTAAAGAATGACAGTCTTACAGTAGTCTTTAGAGACACTATTGAATCATGCTGTCACATCTTTTGTCTTCTTTGCTGCTACCCAACCCTGATCTACAGTTTACACAGATTTCTGGGATGAAATCTGATTGCTGGAGACTTTCTGCTTTTCATTGTTGTTGTTTTGGGGATGGAAAAGGGTTTCAGAGTGGTGTTCATTTACAGTTTGAATGTGGAATAAACACTTAAGGTGGTGATGATGTTGCACTGTTCGCTTAGGAACATATATAAAGCCATATGATGCTATATCTCAGAGCACAAAGCTTGGTCAGTACAATTCTGGTTAAGACAGCGGGCAGGATTTGCCCCCATTTCCTCCCCAACCTTGGGAAAATTCAGGCTGAAGTGGTAGAGGAAATCTGCACCAAACAAAACCCATGTTGATTGTTTTCCTTTGTCTTACATGGTAACGAGTATTGATTTACGAATGATTTTAGGTTCAACTTTACATAGTTTGGGAAAATAATCCATTCCATATCACTTGTTCTGTTCTGAAATGATACCGTACACTCTACCATGCAGAGTTTATTCCTTTTCTAAAAAAATAAAAGTTTTAAAAAAGTTGAAAATCCCAGACTCTTTTCCACCAGTGACGGTACGTAAAGTGACTCTGTTCTCTCACCTGTATGTGTTCAATGTTTTTGGCTTTGTCTGCCTCTGGGGCATAAAGCTACTTATTAATAGGCCAGTGGTGGGATTGCCCAAGGGCCCTCCCCATCTCCTGGCACTCATCTCCCTGAAGATCCCTTCCTTCCAGGATCTTTCCTCCAGCTAAGATCTTAATCTTCTTCGTCCCAGACCACTGTTTTGGGTTTGTTGGTGTTTTTTAAGACCTTTTTGGCACCAGCTCCTCCTCCAGCTGCCAGGGCCCGGTTCTCCCAGCCCAAACCATTGGTGTGCAGAAGGACAAGGCACAAGCAGGCTCCCCAGCATTTCTTGTGTCTCGCAACCCCTGGTTCACTGGGAAGTGTGGGATTTACTCCAAGTGGTAGTAAAATTTACAGCTGCCCCCTTAGGAGTTGCAGTTCTGCTTCTGCTTGGGAGGTTGAAAATTCAGTTTTGAATATACATGGTCATACCCCCAATTATCCACCCCATATTGGCGTTCAAGCTATTTCTTCCCACCCATGACACCCCCGAAACCCAACACCTAGCTAGGTGCTCTCACCAAACAACACCCACATTAGTGAAGGTCTTCCAAAGGTTTGGCCCTCTATCTCTGCCCATCACTGGGGTCTCTAGAGACCCTCAGCTGTAAATCGTGTTTGTGGCAATACAAACATCAGCTGGATTTACAAAGACCACAGAATATACAAGTACACAAAAAATGCTTTACTAATTATTTTTCGGAAGTACTCAATGACATGCAATGGCTTATTTGGGATGGTCTGTAATGTCTTTAAATGGTACAACTTCAGCTAGTTGTTCCAGCCTCCTGAAATGCAGAGATGGCAGCATAAGCCTTCCCTGGAAGCAGTGAGGAGTAACTTGTTAGGAGATGGTAACACCTTCCCACCATGCTAAAGGATTTTGGCACCAGCCCCCACATTAAACATTCAAATTAAAAAGGGTAAAAGTAGCAAGGTGAGAGACTGAGCAATTACAGCAACAATGCCAACGCCACTAGCTGAGGCTGAAATCTGCCCCAGGTTGCACCTTTGGGAAGGGAAGGAAGAAGTGTGGGAGACAGATTTGAACCTACATTGTACGTCTTACATTGTAAACTTTGTAGTGAAGAGGGAGAGGAGGGGAAAGAAGAGGGAAAAGAAACTTCAGGTGCTATCCCTTCAAAGAAAGTTGCACTCAAGCAAAATGGTTCAGGTCAGATACAAGGAAGAAGTTCTCTACTGCCGGGGCAGTGAGGCACTGGAATGGGTTGCCCTAAGAAGTGGTAAATGCTCCATCCCTCGTGGTGTTCAAGGCCAGGTTGGACAGAGCCTTGTGTGACATGGTTTAGTGTGAGGTGTCCCTGCCCATGGCAGGGGGTTGGAACTTGATGATCTTGAGGTCCTTTGCAACCCTAACTGTTCTTTGATTCTATGATTCACTGTGAGCTCATGGAGCCGCAGACTCCCTGCCTTAGCCTGGGGCCTGCTGGTCCAGATGGGCTCAGAGAAGAGCTTTACAGTCACTAGAAACCTTGCCCAGATCCCAACAGGAAGTACCAGGGCCAACAGTGACAGGAGAAGCAATGCTTATAGCATACTACCAGGAAAGAGCAAGAGCTGTGATCCCAGAAAAGGGCTTGTGTACCTTCAAAGCAAGGTGAAGGGGACCAAGAAGGTACTGTTGACTTGAGCAAACACTTCCTTTTGTTAGTGATAACAAAATATTGGTTATTATCATAAATTAATTTGCCCTTTCCATGCATACACCCTTTTCCATAATTTTGCTGAGCAGCGTCCCAAACCAGCTAGGACCCTTGTCTCTGCTACACTGTTCAGACATGCTCCAGGACTTAATCCCTCATGCCAGAAGCCTCCTAGTTTGCAGTCAAATTTCACTGGTGACTAATTTATAACTCAGTATTGTCAGGGTATATTGGGATTTTCCTTTAGTTTTTAGACTGAGATTTAGACAAGCTTTTCTTCAGGCTGGAGCCTTACAGCTAAGACAGGTTTGGAGACATCCAGACTACCTCAAGCCACCTCCTTCTCCTGTTGCCACACCAATTATTATGTTGCCTGTGTGGCTGCATTGTGCTTAGTTTTAGAAAGAATAAAGGCAATGTGTTGCAGCATGAGAACAATGGGGACATCATCAGCTTTTAGTGTCTCACACCAGAAAATAAAAGGTTCTCTGTTCTGGTCCCTAAATTTCTGTCCTCCTGTTTGTCACTGAGAGCACACGGGTATCACCTCTTTCTCCTTCTCTCACACTTAGCTCATCAGTACATACACACTAAGTAAAATAAATAGTTAAGATGGCAAATCTCAACATGTTTATAGAATGTCAAACAAGAAGCTTACCAAATGGTAAGCGCAAGAGATGTGCTATGTGCTGCTGGTTTATTCCCTTCCTTGCGAGGAGGATGCATGGCAATGGCAGTCCCTGGTTGGTAAAGCAGCACACTTGTGACAGCTTCTTCCACCCCTCCATACCTCAACGTGGTCTTGACTTAACAGCCCCTGTGATGGGCAGGGAAGATAACACACCAGGAATAGATTCAGAAGAATTACAGGGCTCAGCAGCCTGTGTGAGGGAAGGAGGAAGGGTTCCTGAAATTATAAATGTGCAGAAAACAATGGGAGTCTGTGGTTTCCAGCAGTATTTTCTGCTGGCAACAAAAGCAGCCTGATTGTTTTGTTTTTAAAAAGATGAAAACCTAATGTAGAAACATAGTAGCTGCAAAGTTCTAAATAGATGGTTAAAAAGCTTTTATTTCTAAACTGCTCTCATCCCACTCA